TGTCATCCGATGGGCGTTGCGTAATGGGGGGGTCGTGACTTGGGGGCCCTCCTCCTCCTTCTCCTGCTCCTCCTCCTCCTCCTCCTCCTCCTCCTCCTCCTCCTCCTCCTCCTCCTCCTCCTCCCCTCCTCCCCTCCTCTTCCCCTCCTCCTCCTCCTCCTCCTCCTCCCCTCCTCCTCCTCCTGCTCCTCCCTCCTCCTCCTCCTCCTCCTCCTCCTCCTCCTCCTCCTCCTCCTCCTCCTACTCTCCCTCCTCCTCCTCCTCTCCTCCTCCTTCCCCTCCGCTCCTCCTCCTCCTTCCTCCACTCCTCCTCCTCCTTCCCCTTCTCCTCCTCCTCCTCATCCTCCTCCTCTCCTTTCCTCCTGCTCCTGCTCCTCCTCCTCCTCCGCCCTCCTCCTCCTCCTCCTCCTCCTCCTCCTCCTCATCATCATCATCATCATCATCATCCTTCCCCTCCCTCTCCTCCTCCTCCGTCTCCTCTCCTCCTCCGCCTCCTCCTCCTCCTCCTCGTTGGCGAGGGTGGTCCGAAAAGGTACCCAAACGGTACCTAATTGAGCCCCCAGGGGCTCTGGAGGGGCCCGAAAGGGGCACGAAAGGGAACCGTTTCTGACCCCCCCCATGTACGATCCCCCTAATAAGCCGCGCCCAAATCCGGTGCGTTCTGGCGTAGCCCTGTTCATTGGCGTAAACCCAGAGGCGCAGCCCGGCTGATCGATCGGCCCCTCAGTCAAGTTCGACAGCTCCCCTTGCGAAAAATCCTTCGGAGGTGCGCGCGGAGTTCTTGGTGAAGGTTTTTGTTTTGGCAGGTGTTTCTCCTTCATACGTAGCACCCCGCAGTTGCGGATAAGAGTGCGGGGGCTGCGAGGACGTCGTCAGTGTGCGAGGCTTTGAAGAAGCGCGCCGCAGGCGGAGCCCGCTGCAGGCGCCGATTTTTTCGTTCAAGCAATGTGGGTGCATCGCGGGGTGGGTCGCGGGTGGGTCGCGGGTGGGTCGCGCATGGGTGGGTCGCGGGTGGGTCGTGGGTGGGTCGCGGGGTGGGTTGCGGGCGGGTCGCGGGGTGGGTCGCGGGTGGGTCGCGGGTGGGTCGCGGGTGGGTCGCGGGGTGGGTCGTGGGGTGGGTCGCGGGGTGGGTCGCGGGGTGGGTCGCGGGGTGGGTCGCGGGGAGGGTCGCAGGGTGGGTCGCAGGGTGGGTCGCTGGTGGGTCGCGGGGTGGGTCGCAGGGTGGGTCGCGGGGTGGGTCGCGGGGTGGGTCGCGGGTGGGTCGCGGGTGGGTCGCGGGGTGGGTCGCGGATTGGTCGCAGGGTGGGTCGCAGGGGGGACGACGCAACAAAGCAAAACAACAAATCAACCACAAGAATCTTCGCCGTGGATCCCCACTGCAGCCGCGCACCCAGGGACAATGAATGACCGTTCGGCCCCCTCACTCTGATGATAACCAGCTGTTCGGGGGTGGCCAAGAGGGGTGGGAATGACTGGGGATACGTCATGATATCTCCCTGGATCTCATGGCGCCTCTACTCATTTCAATGCATCACCCGGCTGCCCTCCGCGCACGCGCCTCGCCCAACGCTCTGCGCACCCCCCTCTTTGGCGCCCCTTTCTGGGCCGCCCGCTCCCGGCCGTGCCCGCGACTCTCTCGGGAGCTGCTACCAGACCCGCCGTGTCGCCCGGCTGGGGCTCCGGGAGCCTTGAGACGGGGGTCAATGCAGACGGGGGTCAGCCAGAGCGCCAGATCTTGCAGGATCCTCCTGCAGGGCCGGGGCCGCATTGACCCGGGCTTGGGCGCAGGATTTTGCAGGATTCTGCAAGGCGAGGAGGAGGAGGAGGAGGAGGAGGAGGAGGAGGAGGAGGAGGAGGAGGAGGAGGAGGGGAGGAGGAGGAGGAGGAGGAGGAGGCGACTGACTGGCCCGGGTCTGGATTGACCCGGATCAGAAGATCTCCGCGGGCTCGGGCGACAGCCTGGGCATGGGCGGCGCGCCTCTCGGGTCCGAGGATCGCGCCGCATCGGCAATGCATCGGCGATGCCTCGGCGACGCATCGGCGACGCATCGGCGATGCGGCTCGGTGTGGGGCCCAATTTTCTCCTCGCCGACGTCGCCGATGCATCGCCGACGCCGCCGGCGCATCGCCGATGCATCGCCGATGCATCGGCGATGCAGTGGCGATGCGGCGCGAGTCCTCGACCCCGTCTACTCGGACCCCGTCTAGGAGGCCTCCAACGGCGGGATGGGGTCGGTGCGCAGTAGGGCGTTGCGTAATCAATGGGGGGCGATAGTGTCGGGGCGCACTGGACGGTGGTCAGTGGGGGCAGCCAGAGCGCCAGAGCGCGCGGGATCTTGCAACGCCAGGGCTGTGCTGCAGGAGCCTGCGAAGCCCGCCTGGCCCGGGTTCGAACGACGGGAGCAGCATCGCGATTTTTAAGCAAGGCCAACGCTGCAGCAACACGAATTTGGAAGAACTGAGAACTTTCGGATTGGACAGGACAAGAAATAATGACACA